ATATTTCTTTCTTCGCATTTGCCTACATCTAACTTCGTAATATGAATCGATTACTCAGCAGATTGATACTTTTTTCGAACAGATTCGTTACAAATATGGTAGAATCGATTTATATCGATAGCCACTGTTATGAAAACTCTTATAAGAAAATAATAACAGCTAATGGATCAGTGGTTCTAGCCATGTTTTTTCAGTTCATACGTATATGCTACCAATACTTATTCACTTCACATTTTATTCTTACTTTGAACGTTCCTTTGACTACTATTTCACAAGAACATCTTTATTAAAAACCCTGTCACATAATATTGAACAACTATATCCTACTGGATCTATTTCCAAAATATTATTCTTTGACCAAGTTTGCTATTCAAATCATTCACAATACGTAATACTGATATCCTTAAGTCTTAATACATTTCGCGATAGAAGCATCTATCAGAATTATTTAAAAACTTCCAGTGAATTTCGAAAAAATAAGTCCTAGTAAACTGTTGTTAGATCCAATGTACTCACAGTTTAATTGTTCTTCTTGGATGTATATAATTCGATTCCAATCGATCTGATCATTTTCAACAATGATACTTTTTGTTGTATCATTTTGCGTCAATTGTTGAAGTGTTTGTTGTAGTTCATTAATTTTTTGTTTAAGTCGATTAATATTATGTTCAACAAAATCTTTTTCTTTTCGACGCAAACGTATTTCTATTGTGATCAGTTCAAGCTCTTTTGTTATTTGTATTCTTTGTTTATTGATTAGATTATTGAGTTCATGTGTAGCTCGTTCTGCTGCTTCTTCTACTTTTTTGATTGTTGTTTTTTTCCATTGTTGAATTTTGGTAAAAAGATCAGATGACGCAAATTTTGATTTTTTTAACTTGTGTATTTGAGCAAGAAGTTCATTGTTTGATCGAACTATTTCATTGTCGAATTTTATCGATAGTTGCTGTTCATGTTCTTTGACATGCTTCGCACAAAAGTGTTTTGTACATTCAGTACAGAAATATTTAGCTGAAAGTTTATTGCAGACGGAGCATAAATTTGAATCAGGCTCTGTTGCCATTTCTCTTAGAAAAAAATCACACGAAGTATGTAATTTTGTTATTAAAATGCTTCGATAAAGTTGGATCTGAAATGAACTTATGTGACTGTTCATATCAACATAATTAAGAGAGCGTCCATGAGGCCATCGAGGACCATGCTATATAT